TGTGCCAAAACCCTTGGAGTGGAGTGTGTGGATCGCTTGCAGTGTCGCAATGTTGGTGGTGGTAGCGATGGGAGCTCACCCAGGAAATTGGATCCCCCTGCCAAGGTAAAAACCCAAAGTGAAAACCCATTTTTTACTGTGCCATTTACTACCTACTACCTACCTGCATGGCCTGAGCTCCGCAATACGCGAATGTATACTCGAGCCACTTGGGCAGCTTGAAGCTCTTGTGCGAGAGATTCCGGTGGTACGACAGGGTTATTCCGAATAAGCCCGTGGTGACGTACAGCGCCACGAACGATCCAAACGCGCCCCACGTAAAGGTGAATGGAGCAAGGAGGCAAAATCCATGGACGAGCGCCAGGAATCCCAGGTGGATGCAATCCCGCGAGCCCCATTTCCTCCCCAGAAGGAGGTTGCTCGGCCCTGGCGGTCGCGCAATCACGTCCGACAGCCAAATCCTGTGCGAGGGAAGCGAAGAAGGCGAAGAATCCACCTGGGGAGCGCCATCGCTGCCAAGAACACAAGAGATTTGCCCCAATCGGACGAGGTTTCCTCGCGTTTTCGATCTACATTGGAGCCAGAAGCTAGAAACGCCGGGGATGCCAGAGATTTGGCCTGGGAGTGGAGGATTGCTGACAAATCTGGATCTGGAGAGTTTGAGCTCTGGATTCCTGGCGCGATGGAGCTGTGGCGGGGGGCGCGAGATTGGAGACGCCCGCAAGCTGAGGACCGCCATAGAAAAAACTCTGTCTCGCGCGCTCTAAGATATTTTGCCAACGTGGCACTCTATCCACGTGGTACAATGTGAGCCTTGCCAACGTGACACGCCGTCCACGTGGCGAAAAGTGATTGCACGGAAGGATAGCCACGGGATATGGTATGGTATGGAAGAATTACATGTACAAGGAGAAACAATGTACAACATACTTTTTTAACAGCCTCTCGTGAAACGATCACGATTGTAGCTATCAAAACTGCAAAGAAAGAGTGAAAGTGTTCCTCTCGTGAGCTGCGCAAAGGAAATCAAAGAGTAGCCACGAACCTTTGAACGATTCACGCAGTTGCTCCGTGAACTTCCAGGATTAGATCCTCGAGCTCGGGAAACGCGGCCCCGAGCACCTTTTCCAAGAGGCTATACGCGAGTTGCTTGATGCAGACCTGGGACTGATAAAACAAAGGTCCGATATGGATCTTTCTAAACAAAAACTTGCTTACTTGGAGAAAACCATATATGTCTTTGGCACAGCGCATGTACTGCTTTCTTCCAATCAAACTGACCAGCGCAGTGGGAGCTTGATCTGCCAAAAAAAAAGGGAAAAATGTTGAGCTCTGGACTCAAAACAAGAGAAAAAAACAAAACTCTACGACCTTGCAAAAGTTCTCTTACAACCATCTTGCGACGAGCAGCCTCCAATTCATCTTCAAACGAGAGCTGAGGAGCAGCTTGATTATCGGCTGATAATTGGAATTTCGGGTGCTTGATTAGAAAGATACCATCCGGCCATAGAAGCTGGCAAGAGACAAGAGCGAGACACGATGAGTTCTATTTGGAAAGGACAAGGAACGGATAGTTTACCTGCTGAAGTCTTTTGATTCCACACACAATGACGTCCTCGCTCCTAAGATACTGGATTTGTGTAAGAAGCCAGTCATCGATTGCATCAGCCATTCCCAGCTGTAGCACCTGTTTCGCCATCCACACGATCTGCCGCCTGGCAGCAAACACCATGAAAATCGACACAAGTACAATGACACGGTACCTGATCCAGCCACGGCCTTCGAGCTGAAAAATTATATCTACAAGATTAAGCAAAGGTACTGTCACCTTGGGAGGATTCCACTGCAACATCGAGGCATCAGCAAAACAAGAAAAATAGAAGAGAAGTGTGGAGATACCTCAGGCTCGTCGATCATCTCGGACCCGGCAAGGGACTCTACAGGGGAATGGCCATCGGAAAAAGAAGCTTCTAGCCGTCTGTTGTGCTGCACATTATGCACTTCACTGTCCGAATGCCAGCCGGATCCATAGCCATCTTCTCCATCATCATCCGAAGGCTGACTATTTGTAGCAGCGTCGCCTACTGCATATGAAGATGGTACTGCAGCAGCATTCCACGTTTGACTTGGCTCGCTCCTTTCAATAAGCGAGCTGCTTTTTCTCGTTCCAGTGGTCCCTAACACCCCACCAGAAACTCCTTTAATTTGTCGGAACACATCATCCACAGCATCGTCGACATTGACTGGAAAAGGAAAACGTCATCGCCTGAAGAACAAATAAGGAGACATACCAGCAAGTGTTTTCATGATCGAGACGGAATCGCCAAACGCATAATTCTGCAGCTCGAAACACAATAAATATAACTTCGAACAAAAGAGTATGGCATACCCGAGATTTGGCACTAAGAAAATCCCACACTTCATGCAACTCTGCTATGCTTGGAATAGACAGCAAGTCCTACAACAGTAAATTTAAATAAAAGGAAGAACTCTGCGATAAATCTACCAACCTTCAAGTACTTGTTCAGCAAAACACAGCGCTCGCGTACAAACGCATTATCGAGGTTGGAAGATAAAAACCGTTTCGGTGGTAGGCTCAAAGTGTAATGCGGCATGTCTCGTAAACGACGATGAAGCTGCTCGAAGTTGCGATATCTGTATGAAATGACGTGAGCTAAAGAAAAAGAATCTGTAGCAGACCTTCTCATAACGACCCATGTTTGCTCTTCAACATTCGACACGGAGATAGAATACACAGCGAAAGATTTGGATCCATTTTTTTCATAATGAGCACCAAGTACCTGCAGGCTAAATGATTAAAGAACAGGCCAGCATGTCAAATGCATCCTTACCTTGCAGGATAACTTCGATTTGTAGCCCACGGTTCCACCAGGTGCTGGTTTCTTGCTCGCTTCCGAGTACTTCTCCTGATCCACCCCACCTCCACTGCTATGTGATCGTCGATGGCGATGAGTCTTTTGCATGTTTTCTTCGTGACCAGCTTCAGGAACTTCCAAAGGATGATGTATAACCCGTGAAACTGATGCCTCCTTGCTGGCCCCGCTACGCACTCCGATACTGTCCTCGCCAACAACAATAACCTTCGACTGATTCCGAGGCCTCCCGTAGTAGTCGTTATCCACGGTCACTGTCTTATCAAGGAGACTCGAGCCTTCTCTTATGTCTCGGAGTTCGGACATTCCTTCGTCGTTGTCACCAATGATCGGCACTTCTTCCGTCGCTGTGGACTGTTCCAAGCCACCACCTTTAGGCACCGTTTTCTTAGCATCCTTTCTCTTGTAATTCCGACCTTTAGCCCATAAATTGTCCAAGTGTTCAGGAGCAAGAGCTTGAGTTTTTCTCTGGTTAAACGCGTCAAGGGCATGCGCCCAGTCTCCTGAACGCGATGGATAGACGTGGTGTGCTGAATGTGTTCCGCTTTTCATTGACTGCGCTGTTAGCGAGGACGTAGAAGTGGAAACCTTTTTGCTGCTCTCTTCGTCTTCAATCTTTCCAACTTCAGACATTTCTACCCCAACGTCTGTCGGAAGCATGCCCGAATCTGTAAATTGAGAAGAATCGGCACGAACAATTTCGGCTGGCACTTTGATGCCCTTTGATAGTCGACTACGTTGCGAGATGACTAGCCAGTCAATTACCTCGTTAATTATTCTGCGTAAAGAAGGAAAAGATTCAAATAGAAATTCGATGGAGACACTAAAAAGAATTACCTTGGACATGCTAAGTTCATCACTTGACGCATTACAGCACAAGCCAGCAACTCCCGAGAAAAGCAACGCACTATTTTGCAGTTCGCTTCTTCAGGTCCCAAAACGATTGCAAGGACACCACCCATCAGTCGCTGAAGGACCTGCGAAACCAATTCTTCTGAGCAAACTTAGTTGCAAAAGCGATACACCCACCTGGATTTCCATCTCAACAGAGCTCACGGCCGGGTGAAGTTTCTTTGTTGATGCAAGGCTCTTCTTTATTTTCTCATCCCTCTCTTCGGTAGATAGAGTGCCAAGATAGTCGGCACCAATGGAAGCTTGCAGTTCTCTATAAACTTCAAGATGATTCCCAATAACATCGACAATATCCCTGCACAACAAACAGGAACGTGTCAGCACAAGTCTCAACACAAGCACGTCCTTCTTTCGTTGCTTCACCTAGTTAAAAGTGTGATAAGATTTACTTGCTTAACTCTTACTGAAACCTCACCAATGGCCCCATTGATGATGTTTTCGATTTCCTGAGGACATTCTCGGTCAGGAGTGATCATGGCGTACCAGAGGTTGGTCACAAACTCGGCCTGTTAAAAAAGGAAACAAAAGCAAAACCATGTTTTACAATGACAAAAGCATTCGTTTTTCTTAATGCTTACCACAATGCGATGAGTGAATTCTTCGAGAGCAGCTTCCACTGCTGGAGAGTCGATTTGCGATCGCCATTTGGTTGATGGCACCGAGGGAGACGAGATCAAAGGATCATTTGGTGCAAGGCGCTTGCATTGATAAATGACTGGAATAGTTTCCAAACTAGACGGCCTCCACCGGATTATCAGCTCCAGCGAGATTCTCCGAGCCACCGCCAGCAGCACAATCGCGATTGGAATGTTTACTAGCACCGAATTGCTCGTCACTGCCACGAGAAAGCCTAAAATTAAAAATCTACACCAAACACGGCGAGAAGAGAGAAGGATACTTACACGACATGCAATAGGCAATGGTCAAGACGAAGAGCACGAACAGCACCGCGCGCCTCTTTGCCTCCTCCAGGAGCCCTTCCAATGTGCTCGCCGCCGCCTTGGCCATTGCGCAATCCACACATTGCCCGGCGGAGCGCGCGCAGCTCTAGAAGCGAATCAGCCGATCGCCGCCATCGCCGTCCGCCGCTTGAGACTCTACCTGTTCTACCGCTTTGCTGCCTCGGAGCTAGAAGCCCTAATACCATTTTAAAATAATTATTAGATTTATCGAGGCTGGCAGCCACGTCATCACTTGGCATTACACGTCATAGTATATTTACCTCGTGGAGAATGTATAGTACAGGGAACCATTGGAGATGAGAGTTTCATCCCACGGGCTCTTCGATTTTTCGTTGGAGATCGTTGTCTGGGGCGGCGGCGGCGGCGGCGGCGGTGGCGGTGGTGGTGGCGGGGGACTTGGCGGCGCTGGGCTTGGCGGCGGCGGCGTGCTCTATCATTTTGAGGAGATGTTTCTCGGGAGCACTGAAGGATGGCAGCAAGAAATTGCTGTGCTCGAGCTTCTGCCGCCGCTGGTAGGACGTGGGAAGGCTAGTCTCTCGCGCGATTGGATACTCGGCTCTTCGTCTCGCAGCGCGCTCTTTCCATATCCGGCCATCCTGCCAGAAAAAACCACCAAGAACAGCAATCAAACAAAGAGAACCAGAGAAGATCCCCAGAAGCTAGCTAAAACGAGAAAACTCTAAGGAAGAACTACGAGAACTCTGACGATCTATCGATGAACTAAAGCAAAACTCGAAACTTACGTGAACGATGCATGGTTCCGGCGGAGGGCAGCGAACCGGCTTGTCATGGTCCGGAGGCTCGAGTGGATGTTCCACTGGGGCGAATTCTTCCATCACGCCCAGATCCAGCCTCGCGGCTCCAATCGCATCTTTTAAAGTCACTGCCAGTACAGTGTGTGCCTTTGTTTCCTACAAGATCGCACAAAATACTTGTTGTCAAATAAGCAAGCTACACACGACACAAAGCACAAACGCTTGGCAGCACTACTTACAGTTCCTTGCGGGAAATGGTTGTGGTGGTCCCCTGACACGCCTCGGGCAATGCGTGTGAAAACTCCCACCATTGGACGATCCGGCAGAAAGAGAGCCTCAAAACCTCCAAATCGCCCTTAGATCTAGAGTGAAATCGCGGCAACAGTGGGAGGAAATCCGGCACTGTAGCTCAAAACCTGCGTGGAAAGCACCAGATCTTGAGCGAGGCCACCGAAATTTCGCAATCCAGGCACAGCATTGCCAGAATAAGAGCTATACCTCGGCGAATTCCCAATCTTTGACGCTCGGCCAAGCGCCTATCGGCCGCAGCCGCGCGGAGGAGGAATCGATGGAAGGAAGAAGAAATCGATCGTAGCGCCTAGCCACTGCCCTGGAAGAATAGAAAAGAGAAAACACAAGCGCTCAAAAGTGCTCTGTTGTTCTTCCACAAAGAATTACCGAACCTGAGCTTCGGCGGCCCCAAGCCTAGTTGGTAGCCGTTGCTCCGTGTCTGACGCTAAAGCTTTTAACGACGCCGTTAAGTTTTAAGCTAACCGTGGAAGCTTTTCTCCTGTAAAGGCTAATCATCCATTAGCACAAAACACAGCGACTTAACCTTTGGTTTTCTATCTTTCCCGCGAGAAGCTTTCATAGCTCGCGATTTCCAGCTTCGTGAGCGCGGGAGAGATGTGATCTCTCGCGTGTTGAAAGTGCCTGTTACACACCACGCTCGCGTTCTGGACGTCTTCTCGCAGAGCAGCGATGGCGGCTTCTCGGCACAGCGATGCCAATTCAGCCCCGGTGAAGCACTCGGTAGCGCTGGCAATCTGTCCGAGATCGACGTCGGGAGCGAGAGCCATCTTTTTGGTGTGGACGAGCAGGATTTCTAACCTTTCCGAAGCATCTGGAGGTGGAACATAGATCACCTGGAAGACAAAGATGAAAGTGTAAGATGAAACAGTGACGAACTGTGCCTCTGCTCACTTACACGATCGAAACGCCCCGGCCTTAACAAAGCCGAGTCTATAGCTGACGGTCGATTTGTGGCTCCTACGACGAGGACACCCTGCATAAGCCGGATTTAGTCACAAAGTAGGATACAAAGTAATCCCATGCCTGCAGTGTTTCAAGTCCATCAATCTCTGTCAACACTGTCGATAGTAGTCTTTCGCCAACCGAGTGCCCATCTTTGGAGTTATCTTCTCTGCCAATCTTGAAAATATAAGAAACGAACAAGGAATGAGTGATGGACGGACTTACCGGCTGGACGCGATGGCGTCCACCTCGTCGAAGAAGATCATGCTTGGCTTTGCCACTCGAGCCAAACGAAATGTGTCGCGCAAAAGTGCTTCGCCTTCTCCGACGTACATGGAGAACATTTCGGCTCCACTGTGTTAATGACATTAGAAACAAAAACCCGCTCAACGTTTAAAAACTTGACCCGGACCTTAATGAGAAAAGAGTAGCTTGTGCAGCGTGAGCGACGGCCTTGACAAGTGTAGTCTTCGAGCATCCAGGTGGTCCGTGCAATAGAACTCCACGATCGGCGCGCAGTCCTAGCCTCTGGAAAGCGACGGAATGTTTAATTGGCCACTCCACAGACTGTTGAAGCTTTTTCTGCAAAAGAACAAGAACAGTAAAACCATCAGGAGAAACAAAGGACAAGACAAGAGAGGATGAACCTTCACATCTTGCAAGCCACCAATTTCATCCCACGACACTTTCGGAACGTCTGCTGCAACGCCCCTCACAACACTTGGACCAACTTTCGTCCGAGCACTGTCCCAATCTTTGGAAGTAACAAGCTTCTCGTCTTCTTTGCTGCCATTCTTCAATGATCTCCGGAGAGCTGCCATTGCAGCTTCTCGACACAGAGCTTCCAGGTCGGCGCCCACGTAGCCACTACATCGATCTGCAAGAGCTTCGAGGTCGACACTGCTGTCCATAGGAATGTTTTGCGCGTAAAGCTGTATGAAGCAAAAATAACAAACAAAATCAATGTGGGAAAACCACAGAAGACTTACGTTCAAGATTTGAAACCGTTCGCTCGCGTTTGGCGCGTTCACCAGAATTTCCTTATCGAAACGGCCTGGTCTTCGAAGTGATGGATCGACTGCATTCACTCTAACGTAATATCAAATCATAAAACCATCTTGGGAAGGCACGTAATATAGTTCACCTGTTCGTTGCAGCGACGACGAACACTTTAGAGGACTCTTCGCTAGATTTTGCAACACCGTCCATTAGAGTGTTCAGCTGCGCGACCAATCGCGATTCCTGCTCTCGCCTTGCAAGGGAGAAACCGAGAATTAATTGTCACCTTTTTTCTCGCAGACATGGTTACCTTGCATCACGGCGGGGACAAAGAGTATCAATCTCATCAATAAAGATAATCGCTGGAGAGCCATTCTCCGCATGCTTTCCAGCCTCAGAGAAAGCATCCCTGAGAACTCGCTCACTCTCTCCAGCGTAAGCCTTGTGTACGGAGCCTGCACTGTGAGAAACTAAGAAAAAAACCCTAGAAAACACTAAGAAAATGCCCACCTGAGTGATATAAGATGAGCGTTACATTCCTCGGCAATAGCACGGACAAGAGTCGTCTGCATTGTCAGATCAATCGACCAGAAAGAAAGAAAAAACGCGAGTGTAACGCATACCTTTCCAGTTCCCGGAGGCCCGTGAAGAAGAAGACCCCTAGACCACTAGAAATTTCACTCAATCAGCTAGATTCCACTGTGGAAACACTACCTTGAGGCCGATCGACGAGGCTTCAGCCGAGAATCTCACAGGCCACACGACGAGCTCGCGCAGCGCTTGCAATGCCGCCGGCAATCCCGCAATCCTCTGCTCGGCATTCTTTGTCGCCATGAACAGCGAAGAACCCTAAAACCCAAAAATGGCAAGGTTTAAGATCGGACGGCCGAGATGAAATGCTAGTCTCTTATCTCGTGCCAGGGTTTTTTAGGAGCGCCTTAATCTTTTTCGCAGGCGTCCAGGTATGCGCTCGCTTCTTCTCTTTCTCTCTCTCTCTCGATCGATCAAGATACCTAGATCGATCTTTCCAGCGCCTTGTTGAAATCGCCGCTTCTTTCTTGGCGCCAGACACAATGGCGGGCTTTGGAAAAGGCGATGACGATGTCTTCTTGGATCTTGGTCACCCGGTCGTGAATCGCTCCGTGGAGGCGTTTCTCAAGGCCGGCGCCGTGAGTCTTTGCGAAATCTCCCTTTCTTGGTCGCCTCTGATCATCGATTCTTTGTCAGGTCGGCCTCGTCCACGCGACCTCTCAGATTGCTGCAAGGGAAGCGGCGGATTTCGTGTCTACGAGCTTGAATTCTGGTATGCTTCTCGTATCGCTCCAAATCGATCGATAATTTTTTCCTTTTTGCGTTTCTAGACAAGAAGTCTTCGAAGTGCCCGTTGCAGCTGGAAGAGGCGGTATGATCTATACAAAAGAATACATTATCTTTGGGATGATTCTCATTACTTTCTTTGTTGTTGTTCCTGGTTTAGGCGTTTACCGTCGGGAAGCAAGCTGTGCAGTGGGGTAAGCTCTCCTTTTTTCTTTATCTTTTAACTATAAACTACTGTGTCTCTGACTTGATAGGCCTGGCCTCTGGAATCTATTCGAGCGCCACGATCAGCTTGAAGGAAGCCCGTGGTGTTCACGACTGGGTACGTATTTTAAGTTTTCCTCCTGGATGTTCATGATTGAAAGATTGATTGATGGATGTTCTCTTTTTCGTGGCATGATCGCTCGAGCGCAGAAGAACGCCATGTTTGGAGGAGCACTGGCTGGAGCCGCTGTGTCCCTGACGGAGCCCAATCCTCGCGCCGAGGCTGTGGTGAGCGGTGCTCTAACGGGAGGGGCGGTTGCAATCGCTGCGGATTTCATCGAGAAGCTCATCTAAGTGATCGATTCTAGAAGCGCTCTCTTGTCAGATAAGCATTTTTTTAGATAAAGTCTGGTTTCTAAGCTTTTCGCTTTGACATGTTTTGCTAACGATATCCGTTTTGAGGGAACTTCACAATAGGATGTCCAATGTCTGTTCCCAGAGAGACCAGAGGAACGCAATTCCCCAATAGTTTACATTGCGGATGCTAGCTCCAACCAGGATTCCAGAGTGGAAATTGATCTTGGAATCCATACTGGCCGCGGTCGTGATAGATGTATGTCGTTTTGCCAATATTTTCCCATTTGTCCAAAGTTTCCAACCTGGGGAGTTTGTTTGAGGATGAGAGCAAACAAGCCTGAGAGTGGCAGACCAAATATATCCGAAAAGCAGGGCTTTACAGCCTTGAAATTTAAATTTAAATTTAAATAATGTGCAACAATGTAAAAGAATGAACTTCAAACATTTTTAGGGAATGTTTTTCATCCAGTCTTCTCTATGCCTCCATCACTGATAACAATGGCAACAGGTTTTCGAGCAACTCTTAGACAGAAACTTCAACTCTAGATCGTGCCAACGAGTTGATTCAGTTAGACAAGGACCATGATCTAGCATTGTTACGAATCTTGCAGTTAACATTAACCCATGCTAGACAACGAGGTGAGACGTTCTTTCCTGGTGATCTCGTTTGGCATTTGGATGTGGTGAGTTATCACTGAGTGAAGTTTCAACCACCTTAAACTGGCCTATTCCAAGTGTAAGAAAGATGTTAAAGAAAGCTTTTTCTTAGTGCATAATTAAACTTCTTATTGTTTTGAGTTTCTTTTATAACCCCTTACAAATCATATTTTAATCTAAAACACATCACTATCATTCCTCTCTCTTCTTCTTTCTATTTTACTTATCAATAGGTGATATCATGTTTAAATACCACAAGCCTCGGAAAAACGTTTGATCAAAGATTTCATACTGTCATCTATGTCTACTCGGGTGTCCTGGTTAGAGCATTTATCATACGTACACACATACATACACATGGCCTCAAGCCTCTCGTTTCTTGCCAGCTACAGTGTCAAGAGCTCTTTATATCTCTCGAAAGTCTCAACAGCTACTCCACTAATGTTGTTGAAGAGGACTCTTTCTCGAGCTCTAGTGAATCCAGTATCCAAAAGACCGTTAGTCTCAAACTTAGGGATCACATCCTAAGCGAACACTCTCGTGGTCAGTGAACTGGACTCTGGAACGTACCATGGTGTCACCACGGAAGTAAACGAGAAACTTTCAGCTTTCCACAGAGTGGATTATACACTTGTGTCTTTCACTGCTGTTCAAGCTCCCATCACCGTTCGCTGAAGCTCTGATTGGTATTGTCTGTAAATTCTCCGAGTCTCGCCGCTTTTAAAGAACTCTTGAAATAAATAAATAAATACAAACCTCTCATACATGAAGATGATCAGCTATGGAAGCCTTGAGTGACGGTGAGACTGATTTCTCTCCCAAGTAAACATCGAAGAGTCTTGATGCAAAGAATCCAGAGACAAACGTCGAGTTTGGAGTCGCAGGAGTTTCGCCATCTGATACTCCAACCTACAAAATCACTCCAAATTTCTTGCGCTGGAACTTACCAAGCAAAAACTTACGTAGAGAGTATCGGGTTGGATCCAAGTGAAGTAGACTGTTGTACCTTTTTTCAGCTTCCGGTTCTGGAAGAGCTTCCCAAATTCGGAAAGGATTTTCTCGCCCTCGGGTGATGATTTTAGCCGAGGCTTGAGTTCGTCATTCAAGGCTGACGAGAAAAGTGCACCACTGACGTCACGCGCAAGCTTGACCACCAGGCCCTTCTCAAATGCTCCTGCAAAAGTTTGAGTGTGCGCTTTCCATGGACAAACAAAAGAATAAAAGGCCAACCTTCGACCAAAAAGTTCTTGTCCCAGTCGTTTGGGAGCTGTTCCTTGTTCGCATAAAATCCCACTGCATAGGCTTTCACAGCAACAAAGGCAATCTTCTTTTCCCTGACTCCTGCGTTCAAGAGCATGGTAAAACTCACAGAAACAAAATCAAACCAAAATATGGAGAGCTCACCGAGGCCGAGAAGAGACAACTCACAAGACGCTCCAGGGAGTTTTTCGAGATTGGAAAATCCAAATCCTGTACTGGGCTCGACTTGTACAGTGGAGCGACCTGGAAGAAGAAAACCACAATAAAAACTTTAGTAGAAAACAAGCAAGCAAGCAACTTACCAGTAGCCGATCTTGGGTAAGACGAGGAAGACTTGAGCTCCTCGGCAAAAGCAGGCCTTGCAAAGAATGGTCGGTAGTAGCGACGCCTGGAAAACGAAGAAGAACAAGATAAAGGCGCTCCACCTGTGCTTGAGCTATATGGTGATTTGGGTGGCGGCGACGCGTGGAGGAGCAATCCAGCTCCAGCCAGCACGGAGGAAGCCACCATAAACTTGAGCATTTTCGTAGGGCTAGACTAGAGCCAACTTTCTCATTCTTTTTATTTCAGCTACACCACCGAGACAAACAAAACGCAGGATATTCTTACCAGTTATCTAGAGATCGTCTCAAAAGATCCAACTGATAAACGAAAGCAAACTTCTTCTCGAGAAAAAAAAAAAAAGAGAAGATCCATACCAGTTAGTGGAGAGCAAGCACGTCGAAAATCACGTAGCGATTGCGAACGGTGGCTTTGCAAACAATAGCTGCGAAAAAAAAAAGAGAGCAAAAGATGAGAAGGAAAAAAACAATTTTTCTTTACCTCTCTATGGAGCTCCACCATAGCCACCACCTCCAGGCGTGAGAATCCTCAGCACCTCCCCAGCCTCCACACGCACAGTGTTCTTCCCTCCAAGGTTGACACACCTCCCATCCTTCCTCAGCACCAAGTTCACCCCGCGAGCTCCATTCCCTCCGCCGCACAGCCCCCGCGGAGCATGCACTCTCCTCTCGGACAAAACACTCACCGTCACGCCCCTCCGGAACTCGATCTCACGCACCACTCCATCGCCACCCCGAAACTCTCCACTACCTCCACTCCCCTCCCTCAATCCAAATCCCCGCAGCAGCACCGGATACCGCTGCTCGAAAATTTCCGCGTCGGTCATCCTGGTGTTGGTCATATGACACTGGACGCCGCTGCTTCCACTCCAACCCGGCCCGGCTCCACTTCCACCTGCGATCGTCTCGTAGTATCCAAAGCTCTCGTCTCCAAACGTGAGGTTGTTCATGCATCCTTGCGAGCACGCACACGCCTCGAAGGCCGAGAGAACCACGTCCGTCACCCTCTGCGACGTCAAAACGTTGCCTCCCACCACCGCGGCTTTGTCACTGGGCGATAGAAACGATCCTTTCGGGATGGCGATGGAGACCGGAGCTAGACACCCCTGGTTCAAGGGAATGTCCACGTCCACCAGGCAGCGCAGGCAGTAGATCACCGCGGCGGCGGTCACGGCCTCGGGAGCGTTCCAGTTTCCATAAACTTCCGGACTGGTTCCAGCGAAGTCGAAGCGTGCTTGGCCGAGCTTGGAGTCGATGGTGAGCTCCAGCTTGATCGTGGAGCCGTCGTCCATGTAGTCCTCGGCCTCGAGCACCACCAGCGAGTGATCGTGATCCTCTCTTCGCTTGTGTGAGTGTTTCGCCGCCACGGACTTTAGCATCTCGCGAACCGCGGCCTCGGCGTTGGCCTGGACGTGTCCCATGTACGCTTGCACGACTTCCAGTCCATACTCGTCGATAAGCTCGGCTATGAGCCCGATTCCTCGCTGGTTTGCCGCAACCTGTGCTCGCAAGTCGGAGAGGTTGTCCTCAAGTTTTCTCGTCCCGGGGATGAGAGTATCCGTCTCTCCGTCGTCGAGAGTCTTCGCCTTGAGGATCTTGACAATGCCATCTTCCTGAAATACGCCTCCTTCCACCAGCTTGAACGCTTTGATCGCCGCTCCCTCCTCCCGGATCGTCTTCGAGAAAGGTGGCATGCTTCCGGGGGTGATCCCACCGATCTCTGCGTGGTGTCCGCGGCTGGCGACGAAGAAGATGATCTTGCCATCTCGGAAAACCGGGGTGACGACGGTAATGTCTGGAAGATGGCTTCCACCGGCGGCTGGATGGTTTGTGACGAGCACGTCGCCTTCTCGCAAGTTGTCACGCCAGAACTCGAGCTGCCATTGTACCGTGCTGGACATGGCTCCCAGGTGCACGGGTACGTGTGGAGCGTTTGCAACCAGGCCCCCCGTTGGACTGAAGAGAGCGCATGAGAAATCCAGCCTCTCCTTGATGTTTGTGGAGATGGAAGTTCGCTGGAGTGTTCTTCCCATCTGCTCGGCGATTCCCATGAACCTGTTGTTGAAGATGGAGAGCTGGATCACGTCGAGCTTCGTATCAACTTTGGGTGATGGATGATCATCAGAGCTTGCTGCGCTCGTCCCGACCTCTATCTTGATATTTCCATGCTTTGTGATGAAGGCTTTGCTGTTCGGCTCCACGACGATGGTGCTGTTCCCATTCATGACGATGCAAGGCCCTGGCAGCTCGTGACCATAGCCAAGCTTCTCTAGCAAGTATACTCGAGTGTCGTGCCAGCCGGTTCCAAAGTAAACTCTGTGCTTCCTATCCTCCGCTAGAGGATCGCCACTGTCAGCTTTGTCCAGAAGCAAAGGCTTCAAAATGTTGCTCATCCCGGTACCGCGAACTCTTACGTCGCTGATGAGGATCTTCCGGTTGAGCAGCTCGAATCCATACTCCCGACGAAACTCGCGGACGAAGGCCTTTCCAAAGTCCCCGTCCTCGGGCTCGGCGATCATGATGGTCGTGTCGGTGCCTTCGTATCGCAAGTTGAGGAACAAGTCGGTGGAGATATCCTGGTCGCGAAAGTTTTGAGCCTTGAGCTCCCGAGTTACGTGCTGAGCTAAAGCTCGAGCTCGTTTGGAGACCTCGGCCATGACTTCCAGTCCGTAAGTAGCAGCGTAAGGCTCCTGTGCGTCTTCCACAACGTCCGCAAGTCCCATGCCATAGGCACTCAAGATCCCGCAGTACCTGTGCACCACAACCTCACGTATTCCCAGAGCTTTGGCGATGGCGCAAGCGTGCTGCGGCCCCGCTCCTCCAAAGCAAGCCAACGCGTGCTGGCTCGTCTCGTATCCTTTCATCTCCGTAAGCTGGCGGATCGGCCGACACATCGCTTCGTTCGCTACGTCGAGAAATCCCAGCGCCACCTGCTCGATGCTCATCTCCACCGAGCTCTCGTCCGCTTGCCGCCGGTACTCGTTCACCTCGTCCGCCAGAGTTTTGAAAGCCACCTTCGCGGCTTCCAGATCGAGCGGCTCGTCCTCGCGAGGCCCAAAGATGGATGGAAAGTAGTCCGGGATCACCCGGCCGAGCACCAAGTTGGCGTCCGTGACCGAAAGTTGGCCACCTTTCCTGTAGCACACAGGTCCCGGATGAGCTCCAACGGACTCGGGGCCAACCTTGAAAACACCAACTTGGAACTTGAGCTTGGAGCCGCCTCCGGCAGCCACGGTGTTGATATCCAACTGTGGAGCTTGGATGATCACTCCGGCGGTCTGTGTCTCCAAAACTTGCTCGTAGTGTCCGGCATATCGGCTCACGTCCGTGGAAGTTCCTCCCATGTCGAAGCCGATCAAGGGCCGGTGAGTCTCCAGTCCGAAAGTAGTTTTCGCGTAGCCGACCACTCCTCCAGCCGGGCCCGAGAGGATGGCCTTGTGCCCCGAGAACCGGCTCTCCGGAGTGAGTCCTCCATCGGACTGCATGAACGAGACGATAACTTTGTCGAGACCATCGTCGAAACCGGAGAGGAATCCAGCCAAGTAGTCCTTGATCACGGGAGTGAGGTACGCGTCCACTGTCGCAGTGTGGCCTCGAGGAACAGCACGAACCATTGGAACCAATGCCGAGGACAGCGAAACTTGCTTGAAACCCATCGACTTGGCCAGCCTCTCCACTTGCTGCTCGTGCCTTGGGAAGATATAGGAGTGTAGAAACACCACCGCCAAGCTCTGGATCCCTCGCTCGAGCAGCCCCTCCAGCGATGGCCTCAGAGCTTCCAGATCCAGAGGCTTGAAAATCTCCACGAGCTCTCCGGAGATCCCTTGCACGACTTCCACTTTCTCGTCGGCTAGAGCATCGTTTTCCAGCGCCAGCCTCACTCGCTCCTCCGCTTCCACCACTTCTTCATACAAAGGTGACGGCTTGGAGGCCGTGAGATCAAAAATACTCGGCCGTGCTTGGTTTCCAATCCGGAGGAGATCTCGAAAGCCTTTGGTGACACACAGCGCAGTTCTTTCTCCCTTCCTCTCGAGCAAAGCGTTTGTAGCCACTGTCGTTCCCATGCGGATCCAGTCGATGTTCTCGGTGGGGATTTTCTCCGACCTGGGGATCTTTTTTCCTGTGAACTCCTCGAGAATTCTCCGGATTCCTTCCCTGGGAGCGTCGTCATAGTTGCCCGGATCCACCGAGAGGAGCTTTATCGCCTTGAAACCACACTCACCGGGAACTTCCGCGTAGACGTCGGTGAAAGTTCCACCCCTGTCAATGCAAAACCGGAAGTGTCTCGAGCTCCGGTTTTCGAGGAGAGTGGCATTTCTTTCGCTGGGATCTTGGTCCATCTCAAATGCGATCACAGTTACCTGTGAAAAAAACAAACACAATGGGTGACGATAGAAAAGAGTGATAAAACACTCGAGAAGAGAATCTAAGCTTCAATGTTGATCTATCAAAAAGGAAAATGGCCTGTGCTGCTCGCTAAACCCTACACAGCTACAGGAATCTCACTGCTCGGAGAGAAAAATTTCATACCTGGGTCGATTGGTATCAATCCTCGGCGCCACAAGGAGGGTTCCCACAACGAGGAGAGAATCGAAGCTTACACCTAGCGATGCGAATGACACGGGTTTAGGAGAATAATTACGTGCTGGTCTTAGTTTCAGGTACTAGTCCGTAAGGGCATGGGATCGAATCCCATTCCATAACATAAAATTAATATGTATTTAAATTAAAATTATAAGTTATAATTAATTAGTACAAAGATTTCATAGAGCTTCTTCTTGCCAATCCAGCAACAAGGGATGAACATTGGAAGGGAGTCGATCCGCTAATCTTGGAGGCGAGAATGGATAAAAATCATGATTTTTATATTGATGTTGGTGATTTGAAGTATCATCAAGTTTTTAACTGTTTTCTCTTATTTCTATAACATTGATTAAGACGACGAATGAATCACTTCCTATCACTCCCTATTTCACTTTTCTTGAAATGAGCAGGATACTTGTTGATGTTCAAATGATCTGCCCCATGCAATGCTGCTTGTTTAAGGGACACCACAATCACAGTCAGATCGTCTCGTCTTTCAAAAGAACTTCTCGGTTTGTTCCTCAATACTTCCATATCGATACCCACAGCTTTCTCTACCGCTTCCTTGTCATCTTCTTTAATGGCCTTGCTGATCTT